GACTCTGCAGGAAGGAGAGAATCCACGCAACACCCAGAGGGGCTCTGCAGGAAGGAGAGAATCAGCGCAACACCCAGAGGGACTCTGCAGGAAGGAGAGAATCCACGCACAAGCTGCTTCCACTTCTTTCAACCCCAACTTTCCCAGTACTGGATTGACTTAAGAGACTGCGTCGTGTGAGCTTTTGGTCTCCAAAACCACAGGAGAGCTTTCCCCACGGGGCGCCGCCTGCCCCCCCACCCCACGCCGGCCCGGGAGGGAGGACGGGCCCAGGGCATGCAGTCAGCTCACAGGAGACCAGACCTCAGGCGGGCAGGGCCAAGGCTGTGCTCCCGAACCCTCCTTCCCCGGGACGGCCTCTCTGAACTCACTGGAAACACTGCACGACGGACGGGGCAGTGGCCACCCCCAGGCATACAGGGCGGGCAGAGGGCCTGGCCCTTGGTGTTTTTTACCAGCGCCCAAAGGGCGGCCTCGGGCAGGGCCCGGACGAGGGCTGACGGAGGCGCTGTGTGGGCCGAGGGTGCTGCCTGCCAGACACCCACATGCCCACGCGACGGTCACTGGCCTGCCGTCGGGCCAGCCCTGCCCTGGCACCAGCTGCTGCTGAGGGGACGGCCACCACCGCCAGCCACGGCACGATCATGAGTCCCTCTGGGCGGGGCCCGGCCCACAGCAGGGCCGAGCTGGCTACCTGTGCTGACCAGAGCCCAGCGTCCCATGCGGGAGAAGGAGACTGGGGCCACGCCGCCCCACCCTCGAGTGTGCAGACGGGGTGCTCGCGGCTCCCCAGCTGCGTGCGGGGCAGGGGCAGCGCTCAGGGAGCCAGCACACCCCAAATCCAGAGCGCCCCCCGGAGACAGAGCCGTCTGCAAAGCACAGCAGGAAGGGGTGCCCAGGAGGACCTGGACACGGGGTCGCTGCCGGGAGCCACCCACCTGCGAGCCGGGCGTAGACACTGGGCCCCAGAGCTCGGGCCGGCGTGCCCTCCGTGGCTCTCGTCCTCCTTCTGCCCACGGAGGGCAGGCCGCGCAGCGGGCGCACCTCCCTACGTCCCTGTGCTGGGCGGTGCCCCAGGAGGACGACGCCCAGAAGACCCTCCCTGGGGAGAGCTTGGCCCGAAGGCGAAGGACAGGGTTCTGCACGGGGCAGCAGGCCGGGGGCTGCCAGCGGGAGGGAGACCCGGCCCCGAAGCAAACGAGGCGGGGATCTCCCACCGGGCTCCCCCCCCAAGCCGAGGGCACTGGGCATCTGTCTCAGCCGCCCGTGGTGCGGCCCCCAGGAGACCATGGAGCCCCCAGTGAGAGGGGAGGGCCGGCCAGGGCCATAGATTTTCCTATTTTGTCATTTTTATCAAAGACAGTGGTTTCTCACCATTATCTCCGTTACACCGTCTGGCAGCCCCCCCCCCCCACCTGCACCGCGTGTGAGTGTTCTGACAGCTGCGATGGGGCCGGAGTGCCGACGCATAGCTCTGAACTGAAACGGTCCGGCACATGGCTCCGCCCTCAAAAGACATCAGGAAAACATCCTGGGATAATGCAGAAAGCACAGCAGAATTATGGAAAGTCATCAGGGGTTCTGTGCCCGAGGCGACTTTTATTCTAGAATTCCCGCAGCCTGGAACACAGAAGCCAAAACTCTTGAATTAGAAGATTTTTGGAGGCTGACGATGTTGTTTATTGCTCTGAAAAGGTTTCCACTGCTGAGCTACTCGCGGACTTTATCCCCCAGTGACTGTATCGGCTGCAGGAAAACTTGAACTGTGCTGTCCTCAGTTCTGTTGCCCAATGAAACTCTAAAACAGGTGTTTAAAAACCAATGTGCTGTACCTGAGATCGAGTGTCTGTGCCATGTGTCAGCAGACCGCAGCAAGATCCCAGCTATGTTTCCTATTAATTATTATCACTGGCAACGACTCCACTGAACGCCTCACCGAGACCACGCAGGCACAGGCACCTCTCTGCTTTGGCAGGAACGTAAATGGCAAACCCCCCGCTCGGTGCCCTGAGCTTCCGCAGAGCCCACTGTGTCGTGGGAACAATGGCAGCGGCTCCCGCGACACAGGTGTGTCTACAAAGAGTGAGACCGTCCAGGCCTGTGTGCGCGGCCGGCCCAGAGGGAAACGGCCACCTGCCCGGACGCTGCTGGAAAAGCACAGGGCAGCTGTCCGCTGCCCAGCTGCCCCATAAAAGATTAATCCGCCCCACGGGCAGGTCAGCGGCGTTTGGCTGCCGGACGACCGGGGTCCGGGCTAGGGTCAGACCTGCGTCCGAGCGCTGTCTCAGCTCCTGGGGTAGGGGGTGGGGCCTGGGCTGGAGCAGGGCTGCTGCTATAGGGCAGTTCTGACCCTCAGCTCCTCACTGGGCCCAAGGAATTTCTTCCAGTAGCATCTATTTCTCTGGCTTTTGTGAAAACCTTGGCTTCCAGGTTAACGATCCTGTCTCAATCCGGTTTCCATAAGAAAGAATGGAGCAAAGCTTTGGGTAAAACAGAACATGCCGCGGACGCCAGATGAAAGAAAGCACTGCTGTGTGTCCGCAGTATTCAGACACCCCCAGGAAGCCTGCTTCTTGAAAGGCTGATGCTTCTGGACCCAGGGGTGCGGGGTGCTACAGGAAATGAAAAGTGATAACAGCCGACCGGCTGATTGTAACGATCTGGAAAGAATGGCTGGTTCCTGGCGTGTTCCTTCCTCGGTGTCAGCTCGAACGTCTTACATAGTAGAAAAATACCTGTCCTGGCCTACGGCGGCAAACGTGAGCCTCAAAGCCGACCCCCCTAAAGAGAGGCCCCTGCACCACGCAGGGCACCAGGCCGGGGCCGGGACCCCCCTCGGGCCAGCCCGGCCTCCCGGTCCCCACTGCCTGGGCCAGTCACCCGGCCTGATGGGGGTTACACTGGTCACTCATAACTGACAGGAACACAAATTACAAACCTAAAGTGCTGTTTAGGAATTGACAGGCCTCCGCCGAGTCTCACGTTTCTGCGACCTATTAATTATTCACACAGGCCTGGCCTCCTGTGTGACGGGCTAGATGCTATCGAGCAGGTTATTTTGGTAACTGGGTAAACAGAGCTTCATCCTTTGACCCCTGGGTCAGAGATCGTGACGACCCCCAGCTCACTCCCCCAGCCCCCATGGGGCGGCAGGAACCGGGGACCTTCCCGGAAGGGACCTCTGCTCTCGGGACAGGGGACCAGGGATGCAGCGCAGCGGGCAGGGAAGAGTGACGGCCAGGCCTGGTCAACAGCCCAGGAGGGTAGAAGGGAGCCGGGGACACAGCAGGAAAGAAAAGCAGAAAAACGAAGTGCACAGAAACGGCCTCCTGGAGCTGCAGTTTTCTCTGCGGAGGCAGAGGGGACACAGGGACCCCTTTGGGGACGCACACTCTGAGTTAGCAAAAACACACAGCCCGACGGCTCTCTGCTCTCCCTCCCCAGGGAGAAGGTGGGGGACTCTCCCTCCTCAGCCCAGACCCACTGACGGCAACGGCAGGGAACCAGCTGCGGCTGCTGTCCAGGCGCTGGGCGCGGACGCGGGGCGGGGTGCCAGCAGGATGGGCTGGGAGACTGGACGGAAGGGAGGCCCCAGACGCACCCAGAACACCTGGCCCCGGGGCGAAGGGGCCCTGCACTCATCCCACCGGAGAGCCGCTGTGAGCCCTGCAGCTCAGGAGACACAGAACAACGGTGTGAAGCCCCCACTCCGACGGCTCCGGGTCGGTCTGTCCTGCCGGCACCGCGGGGGAAGGCCTTTGCATCCCCGTCGGAAGCTCTCGGGGCTCCTGCATCTTAAACCAGAGAGCGGCCCATGGATTTACACACACACGCGGGGCGCTGGTGGCAGAAGGTCTGGACCGATGACAAGAGGGGCCCTGGGCGCTGGGAGCCAGGACACTCCACCCTGCCCCCAGCTGGACGCCTCCCGCCCGGGAGGATTCTGCGTGTGTCTGAATCCTTTGGCAGTAGGGGAAAAGGTACGATTTTAAAGTTCAGGGAAACCCACACTCCCTTCCTCCCTGGTCCCATCATTACAAAGTCAGCAGAGGCCAGCGCAGACCCGGGGCCCCTGGCGCTCGCTGTGGCCGCATCACACGCACACCCGCCGGTGGAGCCGGGGGCCTCGAGGAGGACGGCCCGCACCCACCCAGCTCCAGCCCGCCCAGCTCCAGCCCGCACCCGACAGGGCCGTCACAGCAGCCTCGGGGGCCCAGACGCGCCCGCCGGGCACACCCACCAGGGCCGTCAAGGACTCTGGAGAGTCTGGGTGGTGGACGGTCTGGAACGCTCACTCCCGGCACCAGCCCCCGAACGATGCTGGGCGAGCCCCGTACACATCTGTGTCCCCAAATGAAAACGGGGACAAGACCACGTGAATGCAAGGTCCTTTCCTAATCTGAAATTGCAGCCTGATTCTGCCTGGAAAGAAGGTTCTGCATTTCGTCGTGTCTCCTAGACTCAGAGGAGGGGCCGCGGAGGTGGAGGCAGCTCCCCCTGTGTCTTGGGTGCTCGGGAAATGCAGGAGTCCTCCCTGGGCCTGGCAGGGCCTGTCCTACACAAGGCCACTGCCCCTGACTTCACGACAAGCTTGGGGATGCAGAAGCAAGTCGATGAGCTGGCTGTCCTAGGAGGGCAGCAAAAGCCCCGGGTGCAGGCCTCCTCTGAGCGCCATGTGGCAGCGGCTCCGAGGGACGGCCTGGATGCCCGGAACCAAAACCCGCTTCCCTCTGACCAGCCGACCGCAGAACGGCCAGTGGGAGCGGCTGTCTCCCCAGCATGTGGACCAGCCTGCGGCCGAGCTCCGGGGAGCCGCGGTGCCGGAGGATATGCTAAAATACCTCGCAGCGCAGAATAAAGCCCTGCGGTTACTGGGCTTTCACGGCAACCGAGAGCTCTCTGTTTTCATCTGTCTTACAATTGTGTGCAAATTCTATTTTTATCCAGTTTGTGCTCCACTAACTGAAAAAGAAAACAAACCCCAAAGCCCCTCTTTTTACCTGCTCACGTCACCTTGCACACAGACTCCCTCTACCGCAGACAGATCAGAGAAGTCTCCAGTCCTAACCCTCTTGCAGGAGGAATGCTGATAGAGGCTGACATTTCTGTTGGGCCTGGTTTCCTCTCGCGGTTCAGCTGTGCAGCAGGGGGAGGGGCCTTCATTCTGCTTAAACCCAGAAGCAGCCTCTCCCATCCTGCCGTCACTGAACTCGAAATAATTTTGGAGGATTCACTCTTAAGGCATTTCCAATGCGGTTTCAAGTTTCAGAATTCCTCCGCAAGTCTCAGTCCTCTCCATCTCCTCGACACTGAGAGATCAACACCGCCCTGCGCCCAAGACACCTGCCCGGTGGGAATGGGAGCACGGCGCTGGGACCCTGCAGGGGGCGGGTTCCTTGGGCTCCCAGAAGAGGCGGGGCACACCCTCGTCCCCAGGGCCACAGCCACCAGGCGAAGGACAGGGACGGCCCTCGCTCAGGGCCTCAGCCCCGCGCTTTGCATCTCACGACAGGAGTGTCCACGTGGCACGGGGCTCCCTGCCCTCCAGGGCCAGCGCCCCTCGCCAATGTAATTGACAAGAAACGGGGGCTTTGGGCCATTACTTCTCTGCTGCTTTAATTTAATTTCTCCTTATTGAACAGCCTACTTCCTCACCTTTGTAATGTCTTTTCCATTCAGCAGCAACGTACTTTCTTCCAGTGGAAACCGCAGCAGGAAGGGACTTAAACACCGTTCATGGACTTGGCTAAGCGCAGGCGTTATCCGACCTGCCTCCGCCCGGGAGGGGACCTGAAAGGGCCGCCGGCCGCTGGGCGCTGCTGAGCCCGCTCTGCGTTTCCCAAGTCAAGCGGCCAACCAATACCAAGTGGGTATTAACCGGCGTCGAGCGCACAGCCTCCGATGTCGCCCTAACGTCACCCCGCAAACTCCAGGCCCTGCATGCCGCGTTGGCGGACCGGCACTTGTCCGCGCCCTCCTGCCCTCGCAAGCTTTATTTTTATTTATCTAAATGGAATCAAATACAAACACGGGGTGCCCTGCTGCTTCCCCTTCGGCTTGCACCATTCCCTAAATGACAGGGTTGGGGAGCGGACTGGACAGGCGGGGGCGTAGCTAGACGGGGGAGAACCGTCTCCATCAGCGCCATACGGCTGCAGTTCCGGGGCAAGAGGGCAAGCTCACGTCCAAGGGGACGGTCACAAGTCACATCACAGGGGTCTGGTGGGAGACGCTGGGCTGATGAGGTGACACGTGTGACCAAATGCCAACGCCTGCAGGACAGCCTGTCCGCGAGCTCACCTTTACCTCCTGGGCTGGAGGGGAGCGACAGGTTTGGGATGGCGGGCGCGGCCTGGACACCAGCTCTGAACATGTTGACTCTGACGCCACGTACGCCCATCTCCCCCGGGGTGTGTGAGGCTGGGGAGTGGCACCCGGAGCCACACCGACAGAGCCCCGCCAGCTCCCCATGAGGCCGGAGCAGCCCCTCCCCGATGCTGCCCCGGCCCCGACACCCCACGGCAGGTCCCCGCTCCTCCTGTCCCCAGCTGAGAAGCAAAGTGGCGGGTCCCAGCCGGCACTCCAGGGCCCAGTGGGGCGCGTGGGCCAGAAAATCGCATCTCTAAGGGACCCTGGGCAGGCTTACTTGGGGAACCACCGCCTCAAAGGGTCCACGGCTTCAGAGAGGAAAGGATGGAGTCTTTAAAAGTAGCCTCTGAAAACCCCAAACCAGAGGCAGCAGCCGTGCAGACGGACTTCGCTGCCTTGGACAAATCTTAACGTGGCCCAAGGAGACCTTGGTCGAGGCTCTGTTGACGGCCGTGGGGAGACGTGCTACAAGGATGGTGGCCACATTTGGGGAAGCAGCCCCAGGGGGTGGGCGGCCGCGGCCAACGCAGGAGGGGAACAGCGGCTGCGGGCGAGCAGGGCTGCACGCTCTTCCCATCTGTCCCCATCTGTGACCTGGGGGATGGGGTTAATTCTGAGCAGAGGGCTGGGCAGAGGTGGGCTCCATTCCCCTTGGGGCTGGAGAGGGCAGAGGGCCCCTGGATTCGATTCTCTGACTCTCCCCAGAGCAGGGGCGCCAGGAGGAGTCCTCTGCCCGTCCGTGTGTGGCGTGCACGGCACCCAGCGTGTGGTGTACACTGTGGAACGTCTGCAGCAGGAACGATGGACAAAATGCAGCTGGGTTAGAAATCGAGGGGGAGCTTCTCAGCAGAAGCTTCAGTCCTTGGTTCTAATAACCCTGAACACTTATTTCTACAGATTTGTTAAAGAAAAGGTCCTCAAAAATAAAGCCCTTTTACTTCAAAGGTATATTTCTTTTCTTTTAAATTTTCCTATTCCAGGACACCTTCAAACGAAATAGCACCAAGGTCAAGTCTACTGAGAGGTCTAGACAGCAGCCCCCAGGCCACACTGCCCACTGGCCACCATCCAGGCAGCGAGATGGACCCTCAAGGTGGCCCAGGGCATCTTCCTGGACACACTGTCTCCCCTTGGCTTCTCTCTTCCCTCTTTCCCATCTGTTCTGAGTGGAACATGACTGCTCAGGGACGCATGGGGATAAAGGGCATTGTCCACCGGGACAAAGCAGTAGCCGGGCTGTACCGAGGTCCCCTCAGTTACCCACCAGGAGACACAAGCAAAAGCTACAGCCATTCCGCCTCCTCGTTGAGTAAAGGCTTGCTGGCAACACCCTCCAGGGGAGTCCTCCCAACCCCGCCGGGCTGGTCACGCCCCCACGATCTTCAGGGTTTCGCCTGCTCCCCCAGAGCAGTCCCACCGAAGAGGAGCCTCAGGTGTCGCGAGTGCAGCTGGTCTGTGAGCTCCAGAGGCAAGCAGAGCTTGGCACCTCTGTGCCATTGCATATTGTACCACTGTACCACTCCATGTATCGAGGAGAAAACTGGGGCTTGACTGTGCATAAAATATTTAGCTAAACTGGTTGGGAGATGAGAATATTTTAAAAAAAAGACAGAAAATGCAAGGTGCTGTTAGCTGTTACCGCAAAGTGGCCTTTGGATTAAACCAGCCCCAGCTGCTGCCCCTGCAGCAGGGACAGGACTTGGGGTCAGAGCAGAGCAGATACCTGCACACTGGGGTGTCCTCCGGCCAACGCCTTCACGGCCCCCCGGCTCCCCTCCGTCTCGTAATGAGCTCTGTGGTGGGACTTGGGCTGCACCTCGATCCTCAGCTCGTATGGTCCTGAGTGTGACGGCAGCTGCCAGTCGAGGGCAGGGAGAGACGGGCTGAAATGGAACACAGAGCATTAAACATTCATGCCACGCTTCCCGCAGACCACAGACCCACCTAAGACCCTGGGGCCCTGGGAAGCAGCTCATCCTGCCGGGCTTGTATCTGAAATTCCCATCGATAAGGATAACGGCCTGACACAGCCAACGGCAACCCGATCGTGATGGACGCCCAGAGCCTTGTCAGGCCTTCATGACGAGCTTCTGAATAAGACGGAAACATTTTCCCACACGACCTTAAAATATTTTCCTTCGTTCACGATAGGCCTATAAATTATTTAACCTCCCTAATAAGATAGGTTCCAGAATTAAAGACCTTTTCAGAATCACAGTTCTATCAGCCTGGCCTCAGAACTGGGCGGCCTGGCTCCCCTCCCCTCTGTCCCACGCGCGCTGGCCGCGGGCAGGAGTGAACCGTCGGGGGTGCCGCCAGGCTCCTGATAAAATGGCGGGGTTGCGGCAATCTCGCCCAGCCCCCTACATCCCGTGCTCCGTGCACGACAACTGGGCAGCCGCCCACCCAGGGCACGAGTGAGCTGCAGACAAAGACCACAGAACCAAGGGAGCGGCCCTGGGGCCCAGGGCAGATTTGCAAGGCGGGTTTGTCACTTGGAGGCTGAAGAGGGAAGAGGGGAGTGAGCCGGGCCTTGCCCGAGGGGTCCACGAGGCCCACGACAAGCTCAGATCTCTGGGGCACTGACAGTCTCACTGTACAGACGGGAGATGGAGGCCATTTGCCACCTGAAACCAGGTCCACGTGAGGCCAAAGGTCCTGCTCTCCCTACAGAACGTGCTTCAGGGTCCTGCCCTGTAAAAAGACAAAAGGCTGACCCCCAAAGCCACAGTCCACAGGCAGAGGCCGCCAGGCCCTCACAGGAGCTGGGGTCTGGCCCACCCACTGCCTTCCTACAACAACAGCCCAGTGGGGGTGGGGTGGCTCTTGGTCCCCACAGTGACAGCCCCTCCCCCTCCCCTCTCGGATGCAGAACCTGACCCAACAGAGATGCTGCTCGTCAGACCTCAGAGGTGTCTGGAAGCCAAGCCCAGGCCGGCCAGGAGGGCTGCAGAGCGGGGGCAGTGTGAGGACCCCCTGCCCCGCAGAGGTGGACGGGAGGCGCCCAGGCCTCGCCCTCCACACACGGCACTGAAGGTGCCCTTGCTCCCAGAGTCTCCGCCGTCCGGGCGCCACTGTCCCCTCGCCCCGCTCCGCCTGTCGCTGATGTGTCCGTCTCCGCACATGCAGCAGACACCGTGCGTGCCGGCGGCTTGTTTGGGACAGGTGGCTGGGAAGCGTGGGTTTTGTTCAGAGGCCCAGACACACGGACGCAGCGCTCGTGGCGTCTCAGCCTGGAAGGAGTCGGTACACTACTTCCCCGAAACGTCCCCCAGCCTCTCCGCCTCATCTCAGACGATGAATCAGGGTGATTTTTAAAACACAAGACAATAGATAGAATAAAGGTACTTTTTGAAAGGAGAAAAACCCCAGAAGTCAGCTTGAATTGGAATCAAACATGTAATTTCTAAAAAACGTGCAAAATACTCCTGGAAAGGACAGTATATTTCCGGGCATTCGTGGTTTTCTAGTGACGGCAGAAACGGAATCATCTCGCCACGCACGTGCAGTTACTGCTGACTCAGCTTTGCGGGCACCCTGTCCACCCTCGGGTTCTGCAGCCCCGCCCGCTGGGCTCCTCTGAGAGCACACGGCGCTGCTGAGAGCCTGGCGGGACGCAGGCCGCGCACACCACACCCCACTATAAAGTGTTCACTGGGTCCCAGGGACACCGCCAGCCCCGATGCCACCCGGGCGGACGGGCCTCCCAGTGGGCCTGAGCTCGACCTTCGAGCAGCAAATCAAAGGCTCTAACGTGAGAAGAGGCTGCATCTGTGTCGACGCAGCGAGAAATTTAAAATCCTAACTGGAATCCGCCGCAGATACAGTGAAGTGGGCGTGTCCAACAGTCAGACGCCAGTGGAAGTGGGGAAGACCAGCGCCCCCGGGGGCCAGGACCTCCGTGCAGGCGCGGACGCTGCTTTGGAGTGTGTCCCTCAGCCCCCGTGTCCACCCTGCTGGGCCCTAAAATCACCGTCTGCATGGGAGGCCTTCCAACCCTGGGAAGCCCCTCCTCCAGACTACATGTCGGATTCCAGGACCAACTTGCACTTGAAAACCCTCTATTCAACGGCCAACCTAAACCCAGATTTCTTAGGAAGCGAGACCGCAGGCGGGTGGGATGCTCATCGCCCACCCGCCGGGCCCCCGTCTGCTGTCTACATTTTGATTCCACGTCAACAAGATGCCCCCCGCCCCCCGGTTCTCACTAAGTACAGCCTCGGAAAACTCAAGACGATGTGACCAAGAAGAATGGGACGGACACGTGTGTGCGCAGAGATTCCGAGATGCCCAGACAAGGGAAACGCCCAAGTCACGGGCTGAGCGCAGGAGCCCCCCGCCCCGCCCCCAGTGCCAGGTGGCTTCTGAGAAACGCTAAACGGAATCGAATGGGAGTTCTCCTGGTGGGCGGAGCTCCGCGGTGCGTTTGGCGGTCTCCCGGGCTGTGGTGCGCAGAAGCACTTTCTTGACGTGTTATCAGCGACACATGTGGCCACACCGCCAGGACGAAGGACCAGAGAGCCACGGGCTTCGAGCGCGAGGCCGGCCCTCGGTAACTAGCATCTTACGGGAGCTGCCCCGACCCCCAGACAAACTGCCCAGCTCAGCACACCCCGCCCGGAGGGAGCGGACCACGTCTCCGTTTAGAATATCCAACGTACTAATCTGTTCTGTTATCTTATACATACTGTTGGTCTAAGTGAAAACACTGTCCTCTGCTGTAAATAGAAAAGAAACAAATGAAAAACAAAATAAAAGTTAGGTTCATCTGACTCCCATGAAATTAAAAAACGAGAGTGTGCGACGGAAAGAGAAGCAAAGGAAGGATGGAAAGTGCAATCCCTTGCCGTCTGCGCAGGGCAAGCAACTTCTGAGCCGCTCCGCACTTGAACGCCATAGAGGAATAGATCTGGGGAAATGATTGGCTCCTGAATCACGGACAAAGCCAGCAACACAGCGTGAGCGCAGTTTCGAGTTAGAATGGTCCGCAAAATAAATACTGTAATACAGACAATTTAAAGTTAGAATGGTCCACAACATAAATATTGTAATACAGACAATTTAAATTATTGTTTGGGGTTGGACATTTTCAGCATGAGTTTGGCAACTCCACAAAAATTGTAAATGTATCTCTGATTCAGAGAAAAGGCCTAAGACTGGAAGGAATGTTCCAAGACGCAGCGGCCCCTGCCGCGAGGACGGTGATTCACGGCTGCGCTGTCCCAGCCCAACCCCCTCACGGGCCCTGCAGCCGAGCGTCATTCCTGGGGGTCACCAGCGACCCGGAGAGGAGCCGCCACGGGGACCACATCAGGAGAGTTCTCTCATGGCCTCAGCCCAGGGCTGCTGAATAACTTCAAACTCACCTCCAACTTAACTGGATTTTTTACAAAGCCACACTCAATGCAGCCAAGACAGCACGCGGTTCAATTCGAACCTAAGATCCCGCGGATCTGTACGAACAGAAGCTACCTTACATTCTCTCCACACACACACGTATACATCTCATAATCAACCAGAGAAACTACCTCCACAGCTGGGCGTGTATCTGCAAGTATTTTTACACAAAAGGGATAGATCTTAACAAAATAAAATACATAGTGTGATATCCTGGCTTTTTTAACGTAAAGATCACATGTTGAGCATTTTAGCATTGTTCAAAAATGGTTTGATCTCAGCGTCACGTCTTGTCCTACAGATGACTGATCAGTGCTCTGTGGATGGACTTGGGGGTTGCCCCCAATTTGTTGCTCTTATCAGTACCAGAGGTGTGAACATCCAGCGTGAGATCCTGGTGGCCTTTCTGGTCATTTCCTCAGCACAGATCCACAGCCTCCGTCAAAGAGCATGAACACTTGGGGCTCCTGACACCTCCCGGGGGTCAGGTCCCCTGCACGGCCTCGCCAACACAGGGCCCGATGGGTTTAATCTTTGCCAAACCCCACAGGGAAGGGCGCTCTGAGGCTGCATCTTCCTGTAACGCTGTAACACGCACCCATCACGTGGTAACAATAAACTGAAACACTCTGAACCCCCAGTGGTAACGTCTCTGAAAGTCTCCAGGCCTCTCAAACGTCCCCTGACCTCTTACACGCATTTGACTAATGGCAACGTGGGACTCCAGGCCCCCCACACCCCAACTCTGGCTCCTTCGGGGTCTCCAAAGGCCACTCCGGGATGACGGCCACTGTCCTTAATATCAACTTGTCATTGCTGGGGACACTGGCTGATGGGGACACAGATCTCTCTGCAACTCTCTGTGAGTCTGGAATTCTTGCAAATAGAAGGTTTTTCTAAATGGCTGTTGTGCACTTGGCACGTAAGGACCTGAATCACGTTCCTTTTGCTCCCGTTTAAAGAAGAAGAGGCTGGAGGCCGCATCTCACGCCCCACCCCCCCACCCCACCAAGGAGCGACGCTGGTGCCCGTCGGCGCTGAGTGCCTGCGGTTTCCACCCATTACCACTGGCACCATCACCCCGCCCCCAGGGCCGAGGGGTGGACCAGGCCCATGGCCTCCCCGAGCCACCAGGAGCCCCGCTGTGAGTAGGTGTTAAGCAGCCTGGCTTGGCCTGGCTGGCCCTGGCCTCCAGGCTGGGGACGCCGGCTCGTGTGACACAAGGAAGGGAGTCACGCGACCTCCATCGGGGAGCCCCCTGGGCCCCAATCTGAATCCCCTGCTCTTGGAGCTGCTG